TAACTAACGATAAAACAAAATCAAACTACTAATCAAAAAACAATAATTATCATTTTACTATATATAATTATATAATTTTAAAGAATTGCAATACATGCAATTATTTTTTAAATAACAATCGTAATTTGACTTCGAAATTCGTAACAATAAGTTAAAATATGTGCAAAATTCTTCCATGTATATTGCACAAATTTTTACTCTATTTCACAAAATTATATTTCGCAACTTGTATAATTAACTATAAAAATTATTTCCAATTTTCTCGCATGCAAAAAAAAAAAAAACATTGTACGATTGTTAAAATTTAATAGTTTCAATTATCTATCTAAATTTTACAATGGCACGGTTGTTCTACATCGTTCTTGGGCCGGAAGTTACGAAAGTCAGACATAATTTCATGCTTACCAGCAGAACACGAGAATTATCACGGGGGAGAAAATGTTATCGCTTGAAGGGTATCGATTACATGACAGAAGACGTGTCGAAACTCCACGGCAAATACGTTCAACTTGGCGAAGTGAAGCTTCAATGAAAATCCGAAACAGCAAGTTTGTAAAAGGTCTAAGGTGAAAGACATTTTCAACGCCAATAACGGTTCCAAGCTATTATTATAAAGTAGACATTTTTAAATGTGTGTCGATGCTTACATTACTTAATTATTACACATAATTATACGGTAAAATTTTTATTATTCGAATGTCTATAGAAAAATTCACACATATATATATATATATTCGATATCTCCACAAAGTAAATGGCGATTACGTAATATACGATTAGTCACATTGTGATTAATATTACGTTTTTTTTTATTGCATTTAACAAAATGCATAAAATTTCTTAGAATGATGGATCAATATTGAATTTAAATGCTTTTATAGAAGATATTAAATTCAACGTTCCTGGAATATTTAGAGAATCAATTATTTACGTTAGATGAAGCGAGATGGAAAGAAAGTGAGAATTTTATTCCCATCTCGCTTTATTTAACTAACTCAAACTGCTCATAATTTAACAAATAAGCTTCGAGCGAAATTTTTGTACATCAAAATATTTGTTCTAGTTTTTAGAATCGATAAAATGTACTTTGAATATAAATATATGTATTAATATTCTGTGTATAATTGTTATAATTATAATTATTATTATTATTATATTATATTATTACGTAAGATTCGTCATTTAAATAGAAACATGTAAACGTTCCTGATGTTTTATGAAAAATATCCTCGGGATAAACTTACTTAACTGCTTGAAAGGGCACATGTGATAGTAAAATTTCTTTTCTCAATGTCATTTTTTATGAAATTTCAATATATATTCTTAGATATTTATAGATGTGGTGACATAGTAAAACATGTGCTTTACAAAAATTTTTAAATTAATAAATAGGGATAAATATCGTTTTAATGTCTTTATTTAATATTCGTTTTTTGAACTTTAATAGATTCATAATTTTTGATTGAACTTAATCACAGAAAAGTGAAACTTTTTTGAGTTTCATAATATTATCATTATTATGCATTTCATAATTTTTTTAAACAAATTGCACGAAGAAGAAAATAGAAAAAATTTTAAAACAAAAGAAGAATGATTTTTTAAACAACAATAAATAAAAATTAATTCAAACGACGAAATAAAAAGATATTAGATTTTGAAATTTCGTTCTTTCTCTTGCCAAAGTTATAAATTTTAATGAATCGTTTAGTTATGATGATCGTATTTTCTAAATATCCCCTCATTATATTTGACAACCCGTCCTAACTTTCATCATATCTCTTGAAAATTTTTCTTCTAGCTCATCGAGAATTAACACCTCTTCCCATAAGGATCCTACATATAATTTAAGTTTGTCAGAAGTTTCGAAAGACCGGTTAAAACCGTTCCAGGCACGCAAACCGATAGTTAAAATCATAAAGGTCGTGAAACAATTACAAAATTTCTAATAACCACCTTAGACCGTGATTCACTCGGCATTGACCCATCGTTGCCACACGAACTTTTGAAGAAAACGTGTGCTTCTTAAATCTTTTTCTTTTTTCCATCCAAACTGTGTCAAACATTCAAATAAAGAGATGATTGATGGTACTTGTCGCAATGAAAAATCCTGACTAGCATTCCGGAACAATATACATTGTTCATTAGAACTCTTCACGACGGATCATTTTTTTTTTTTTTCACGAATAAAACAATGATAAAAAAAGTCACTGTAACATCGCTAGATTAATCATTTTCCTAAGTATTATTGCCAAGTTCTTCTTTGAGAAGAACACGTGCTCTTCAAACAAACAGGATGTGCATAATTTCAAAAAAGAATTTATAAAGTTTGTAAAGCGTTTATATAAAGAATTTTTTATATTTTTTATACTTTATAAAATGTCAAAGAAATGTCTGGAGAATATATAATTTAACAAAAGAAACGTAAGGAATTTGACAAAAATATTTAAATGTACTTTAGATAGAATTATAAGATTATAAGGTATTATGAATAAATAACGAATATATATGGGGTGTTAATTATATTCGTGTGATTGAAGGTCTTTGAAAGTTGTTGTATATTAAAAGGTTGATTAAACCTTTTTTTATTAACCCCTTAAGCGTTTTATGATTTATCATTCAATTTATACGTTAGTGGCATATTTTTCGTTGTTATTTATACTATTATTATTATTATTATTCTATTCAAATATTATTATAAGCTTAATCTTTTATATTATCATATTTTGAAATTTAAAAACGTACTTAATTTTACATGTACATATATTACAGTGAATGGAATATATGTTTGATTTTTCACAATTAGAAAGAATATTTTTTTCCTAGCTACGATAATACATAAATTTTTGATTTTAGATCACTCACATTGTAAAATCAAATGTTTGATATATTTGTTCATCTATCATGGTAGAATGGAGGAGAATATAAAAGCAAAAACTTGTTTTATTTGTATATCATACCATGTCAGAAAATATGGCCATAATTGTTCATAAAAGTAATAAAAAAAAAATAAAGTATTCCGTACGATATGATTTATTTCGACTATTTGTATACTTCAAGTATTATTGCTAAATTATAATAATAATAATTCATTCGTGTTATTTCATCCGTATAAATCTCTTCATATTATATATTATGATTATTCATGATTAAATTTATATCATAAAAAAATAAAATTTTTTTAATTTTAATTTTCATAATATTAATAAATTGTTCATAAAATTTAACAGACAGTTTTATTAAAATTATCCATTGAATAATATGATTTTAAAATAAATTAGAGAATTAATTTTTTGTATCTTCGAACAATTACAGAAATTAAATAATAAAATATTTACTTATTCATATCGAATTATGGAGTGAAATTATTTAAATACAAAACGATTCAAGGAATGAAATTAAAATATGCGTTTTATAAATATTATAAAAGAAATTATTAATGAAAATGAAATTTCTTGCTTAACAATTATAAGTTCAATAAACACGTGAACATTTAAAAATAAATTTTACAAATTGTCGTCTAATTATCTTATTTGACGTATAAAATTGTATAAATGGAATGCGTATAATTCACGGTTGTAATTTACAATTTATTATAAATTAAGTTATAATTCATAACTTGACAATTCAATACAAATTATTAAGTGGTAATCTTGTAATAAGATTTAATAATTAAATTATTTTATATTACTTTTATTTGTTATATTTCTATTTACAGCAAAAAGCATAAAATATATAAACCTGTTTAAGAATATTATTTGCCTTATAATGTTTTGTCATATCATCGTAATGTATATTATTACCTCAATAACGATGTTAACGATGTATAGATAAATTATATGGTTATATTATTAAAACAATTTGCATGAAAATGTTAATTATTAAAATCTTTTTATTAATTGTTTATTTTACATAGATATTATATTGCAAATACATGTTATTTACTTTTGTAATGATGTATTTAATATAATAATCGAAAATGATGGCTCGAAATAAGATGAAAATCAAAATAAAAAGTTTCGTTTTCAAAAAAAAATTAATTGAATAAGCATTTAATTTTTCTTCAACAAAAAATTTTAAACATTTCATTTGTCAGAATTTTTGTCAAAGATTTTTTTCAAAGATCAAAAATAAAAGAGATTGCCTATTTTATATATATATATACATATCTATACTATAAGTGATCTCATTCATTTCAATTTCATTACAAAACGTTAGTGTGATTGTTCTTGAACATAATATAAAATTAGAAATTATTTCATTTATACATTTTTTCATTCAATAAGATCTAACCCCATCTATTGACAATAATTAATTCTCTATTTCAAAAGAATAAATATAAAAAATATATATATATATAATTTGATTTCGTGATAATGTTATTTGTAACGTGAATTAAGATCACCCCATACCCAATATTAGAAAAGAATGAATCGAAATAAAAAATTACAACATACGTACAATATTATTATAATTACATACGTATTTTATATTCCTTATTTTTTTTTTTTTTACTACATCACATACGTTCCCATATCATACTCCATTATTATAATACATTACATAATATACATTACTTATATACTACAATGCGCCAATAATTGCGAAAAGTTACGTAATCACGTTATCGTATCAATAACAAAAATTATTTCGTATACGTGAAAAAAAAAAAAAGAGAAATCTTCCCTTCTCGCATGAACATGTTAACGTTAACACAATGATTACGCCTCGATATCCAACCTCTTTAACCACGAATAAATAACTCGTTCATTCAACGCTTAATGCTCTCCGAAATTGCCAGTGTCGGCCAGTCCGTGTATTTATAGTACGATACATAAGTTACGTATTTATAACCAACAGGTAACAGTTAATTGACGATGTAGGCGCGGATTGATTACAGGTTGTTGCTCGTCCCTCTGATCGAATCGCGGGAAGATACCTTCAACGCGTGATACCGGTCATACGAAGGTTGAACCGGTATCACCGAGTGACATTTGAATGGGAAATGTCGGTGATAGCAGAGAGTACTTGGTACTATAAAAGGTGGAGGCGATAGAGGTGTCCTCGCTAGTAGGATTTTGCACCTGCTATCTGGAAATTCGCAAGTCGAGGTTAGAGTTAATAATAAGTTGGAGTTATAATCGATAGGCTTTTCGATCTGTAAACGGACGATCGATCATTGATTAACACGCGCATCTACCACTCGTGCCATCTTGATGAATTAATCGGCCTTAATGGATAGATGATATTAGATATTGGTCAGATTTTATGATTGGTCACTTGTGTTATTCATTTGCTTGAAACGAGATGCTTGGCTGTTAATCGAATGAAAGAATCCTTCAAGTGGAAATTATTTATGATTATTATTATATGTGAATTCGATCGAATGAAGAATTTCTGTATGAATTTCTGTGATACTTGAATAAAAATGAATATTATTATTGAATCGTGTTATAGTTAAAAAAAAGTTTGGTTGTTTATATATAAAGTTTATATGAACTTGATTCTAACTGAATATAATTTTTGCATTAATTCAATTAATGCTGTTCTCATATGATGCATTATATAATTAATGTATTTTAAAAATGGCAAATATTATAAGAAATTCTTTTGTGGTAACAAAATAAATAATCTTTTACAAATTAATATTGTAAATTTTAAGTCATAAGAAAAGATACTACATTTGTCAATAAATTAATGCCACTAATTGGTAAATTATTGTATTGAAAATCTATTTAAATCTTTTTTATTAAATACATAATAATTTTTCTAACTATAAAAATGAATTTGCATAATAAATAATAAATTATTTATATATTTCTATTATAAAGATATTTATACACAAAGTATAAATATACAAAAAGTTGATCATAGAAGCCATTAGAATCGATTCTCCAAAAATAACTACCCAAATATAAAAATCATAGACTGCTTGTTTCAAAATCAATTATTCTTGCTCTATTGTTTGCACAATATTTACTGAACAACCTGTATGTACATTTCCATTCAAAAATCATAGGATTCCTTCTATTCGTAATAAAACTTATTCATTTCAATTATATTGAATGTGTACGTATTATTTTTGAAGAAAATAAAATTTCTTTATGTTTCTAATTTCAAAACAAATGTAAACTCTCCTTTATTTGAACTTTGAATAAGAATATAAAACAAATTGAAACAGTTTCTCAATTTTTATTTACAACTTTATACCCTCTAATATTCTATAACAAAACAATAAAATAATATTATATCTTGACGATGATAAATAACTTGATTTTAACAATGACAATAATAATTTTATGCTACCATATAAAAATACTAAAACCTTTAAACATCTTTCCAGAACAGAATTGCGCCATGTATTTTCGCACAATTTGCATATTAAGCTTAATGGCCATGGCGTTAGCCGCGAATCAACCGATCGCCATCGTCAGACAGAACCAAGGCATCAGCCCGGATGGCAGTTTTCACTCGAAATGGGAAAGCGCTAATGGCATCACTTTCGAGGAGGAGGGTGTCCTGAAGAATCGGGGGCAGAAGGATGCGGAAGCCGAGGAAATTCGTGGATCAGCCTCGTGGACGGCTCCAGATGGAACGAGGATCAACGTTGACTGGTTGGCCAACGAAAATGGCGCCACTTTTCAAGGGCCGCATCTGCCAACTCCTCCACCCACGCAACCGGTTCCAGTCCTCATTCAACGCGCTCTCGACTGGATAGCTGCTAATCCACAGAAGAATAGATTGTAGCTTCCTACGTTTTATCTTTATCGCGTGAAAAAATCAGTCGAGAGTCCGTTTGGGAAAGTTTATTTACTCAAGAAGAGAGAAGAAGTTGGTTCTACGAAGTGAAGAGATTTTATCGAATATGGTTATCGTGTCGCGAGCAAATTGAATTATTACACGAGAGGTGCAAGTATTGTGAATTTTGTAAAAATCAAGATATAATAAATTTGTATTAAACGTATTAAACATTAATGGATTGATATTATTAATTCCATATGTTGAACTCCCTTGTTAACTAATTTGAATTGGAAAATTATATGTATATACAGAAGTGATGTAAACGATGATGATGATGATATATTGCATGTGATTTATCTTGTGTAATAATTTTGAAAGATTGTTCAAGGGTTTCTTATTCAATTACGTAGGAAATAGAATGGATGTTTAAAATTTTTTTATAGATCTCACTTTATCATTGATTAATTTGATTTAAATACACATAATTAATACATTTTGATACAAAATATTATAGCGTGAATAATATAGTTTTCATACATAAAGATAATTAAATAGCAAATAAATTATTACATGATTTGATTATATAATAAAATGATAAAACTGAAATTACGTATTAAAATAATATTCATACCGGATATATTAATGTTATCAAACTTTTGTTAAAATTAGATAAAAATCATCTTTTTTTATATAATAATTTTTATATAGAAATATTCATAATAATTCTATTAATTAATAAAAATATAAATGATTGGCGTTAATGTGTAAAGAATCACATATTACAATTATAACTTAAAAAATATAATAAAATATCTATTTATAAACTTATAACAGATATTAATGTATTTGTAAAAAATAAGAACATAATATATTCCAAAAATGATTCAGTGTTATACTGATTATTAAGTATTATTAATTATTATAATTAATATAATATAATCATAATCAAAACATTTAATCGTACAATTATAACGATTACTAAATTAACAATTACTAAATTATGTCCTGTGATTATATTAATTTCGATTATTTCGGTTATTAATCATAAATACTGATTATTGTAAATGATAATTACTAAGCAAGTTCATAAAGCTTATGAACTTCGCATTAATCATAATATGCAATCATCATTAATCACATTTTAGAATTTTGTTAAACACACTGTCATGCATTGTAATAAGTGAAATATATCACTCATGAGTCCGGTTAAACTGATCGTCTCATCTATGATTCAATGATCATTATCAAATCTCTAATATAAATATTAGTGTTACTGAAAATATTCATCAATCAAATTTCGAAAAAAAAAAAACAAAAAAAATAATTAATGACATCTTTTAAGTTTTATCATTAAATGTTATGGATCTTATGGATGGATTTGTGAATAATGATAAATTTATTTGATGCATTGACAATTTTAGAAAAAGTTATTGCATTAAGATGAATATTGCAAAAGTTAAAAATTGCTATTTGCAACAGAAAATATGAAAGTTTGATTGAAAAGAAACAACATGAAATATTAATTATCGAAATAAACTTATATGTTTAATAATATGTACATTAAAAGTACTCAATTATAAAAAAAAGTATTTTTTATAGGTGTTACAATCATCTAATCACAAAATTAACAATTTGATATAAAATTAATATTAAGAAAGAAAAATATTTGGAGAAAAATAAATGCTTTTAAATTATTTATATAATCTATTTATTTAAATTGTTAATACAATCTAATAATAAATATTTTACATTCGGATTATAAATTATTACTTTAAGAGAAAAATTATATCTTAATATTTATCTAACGATAAGTTATAGAAACAATAAATAATTAATTTATTTGCTCATATAAAATCATTGATTATTGAAAGTGATCGAAATATTATTAATGCGAGTGTATTGATTACGTGGTTGTAAATTATCATGTAATATGATCAGAAAGCCCAAAAGTATCTGCCACCTGAATAAATATCTGTACCATAATATTTTAAATTCTATCTCAACGAAATATTTTCCTTTCGTTTCCTTCAAACGATCCTACAAAATGGCATTTATAAAGAAGATTTCTTGGCGCTTTTTAAATTTATAAATATACTTTCTAAACACACATCTCAACTCCAGAGTAAAGATTTAGATTAATTGAAAATCCATTTTCCTAATAGCATTACGTTCGTTGCTTATTAATTTAAAATTTTGTCTTCATAATGTGATATACTTGGATTTTATATTTCATCTTTTAACATGTTAAAAGATCACTGAAAAAAAATGAAAGAGAAATTTTTCTAGAAATCTTTTTTAGTTTTTAATACAATTTTATATATATATATATAATTTTCTGACATGTTCAGCACATGTATTGTTGAAAACAATATTCGAAAACTTCGATGAATAAAATATTAAAATATTCGAATAATGAATCATGCATTTTGAATAGAGATTCAATTGTACCACTAACAATAAGAAACAAGTAAAAATTTCCTTAAACTTATACTACTCCTAGCGATACATTTTTATCCAATATTAAGTACCTAATCTAACCTAACCTAACCTAAATTATTACCATTCACAGAAAGAAAACAAGAATCCCGAAAATTAAATATATATCCACGTATCATAATTAAATAAATTTTTCTCACAGTGCAAAAAAAAAAAATCAAAGATTCACGTGTCATAATTAATCGATCTAACCTTAACGCCAACGTACTCGTTTTCGGTTGGTGACAAACGAGAAACACGAAAGAAAAAGGGGGATGTCAGCTCTGCGGGTTGTCACAGGCGTTGGAATCTCGGCGAAACAACGCGCGGATTTCGGCCGCGATCTATTTACAGGCAAAATAGCTCGCGACAGATGGAACACGATACCACGAAAGTCGTCGCGGGGTCGAAGGTTGTCGTTGCGGCGAAGGAGACAGAGAAATATTGCGTAAGCGTCACAGTACGAAAGTTGGTCGCTGCACCAGCTGCATAGCTTGTCCTCGTTCGTTTGGATTACACACCGCCTTGGTAGACGCGGAAAACCATCTGTTCGTGTAAACAAGGAAACGGCACGCCCCCGTCTTTACGCCTATTTACGAATTGTTTCGCCAAATTGCCTGTGCACCGGCAATGAAAATAGACTTAAGGCGCGCGGAAATAGTTGAGTGCGCATAAAGTTGCGGCCATTTTTTCCATCATTCTGCGGTTGCTTGAATTACCCATTGAGGAAGAGCACACAATGTGGCTGTAACGATTGCAGTACATACAAGTTAATTTGGAGAGTTTGATGAATACATATTTGAACACTTTTCATGGAAAAAATTTATGAATGTAAGTTTATGTATGCGTTTTAGCATTATGTGTAATTAAAATTGAGTATCATAGTGCGTACAATCAGTGAAGAAAGTATAATAAATTTTCTATAAAAATATATATGGAAAAGTTTTATAAATATAATATATGTGTAATAGAAAATTTTTCATTATTATATTAGACATATACTGTTGTATTAATTGAAATTTTCAGTTTTGAAAATCTAAATATCAAATACGTAATTGAAGAAAATTATATTATTATATACGTGTAATATGTCTGATATTATTATATTGTTTATAAAAATAATTGAATTACCAATTATTTCGTTTTAAAAATTTGAAAAAAATTTCCTATATACTTATCTATTTCATTAAATTTTCTTTGCACGTAGAAGTATTAAATATAGTGTTAAATATAGAAATTAGTTTTTAAATATTTACATATTTCATGAATTTCCAATATCAATTGTTTTATGAGTTTCAACTTCATATTAGTAGAAGTATCTATATGAAATAACAGATTAACTATAGGAATATGTTTTATTCATATAATGACGAAGAAATTATGGAAAATTTAAATTTTTAATTGTCTTATAATATATTTATGTGTACACGATAGAAGAAACATTCTTAATGTTGAAATAAAATATTTTCACATTGCTTTTAAAAATTCATTGATAATGAAAACATGTACAACAGGCTCGAAATAAAACATTGATTCATTTTTCCTTATCGATTTCTAATATTACGCAATTCACTTTTCTTCAACGTTAGAGATAAAATCTTTTTTATCGTGTTATAAAATATTTATACTCGTATAGAAACATTTATTACATAATTATATATTTTTTTAATAAATAGTTATATAATATATAATACTTATCAAATATCACAACTCGCATAATACATAATTCAATCTTGCAAATTTATTATCGATATTTCATTTGTAATGGAATACGAATAGCGCTATTCGACAAAATTTAATACGTTTAATCTGTGATTATGTATTCTCGTTTAGATAGCGTTGCAGCAGAATTATAATATTTAATATATTTAGTAATAAATATTTACAAGCACATTATTCAACGTATTTAACAGAGAATTCTATGAAATTTGAATTATTGAAACACAATGAAGTAATAATATGGGAAAAAGATTGAACTAACATTATAAATAGATCTAATATTTAAATCATATTAAATTATTTAATATAATTTGCCGTTTTATTATTAAAATTTTCATCGAAATAATTAATTATTAACTTTTTGATGTACAAGGGATGAGTAAAGAAATATAAATTAAAAAATCAAATATATACTTTTTATAAAATATTTTTTATATCGATATATATCGATAAGAATCAAGTATACAGAATAGGAATGAAAAAGAAATGCGGTTTAAGAGGAATAAAAAATAAAGAAGAGAGATAAGGAGAAAGTGTAGTTTATGATGTGGATCCGAGATGACACGTTTATGCTTAAACGTGGGCTGTGACACAATGAAGAAACGGAATGCAATAACACTTGATAAAGAAATGAACAGGGAAATTGTTCTTTCCTCGACGATATCTTCCTTATATTCAAATGATTATTTTCAGAGTCTTACATTTACAAAAGCGTATCTTCTCTTCCTGTCCATAAAATTTGAAGATGTTTAAAGAGAGAATGTACTTAAACCAATGTTTATTTATTACATTGGCGTAAACGTAAATTGGACAAACATAATTGAAATGAATACTATAATATATAAATGTTATTTACATTGAACAAACGTGAATGAAATAATAC